CTCGCACTAATATATTTTGAAATGATGTCATGACAAATATTGGTAATTTTATCTTCTGATTGGGAGGGGAAAACGACTACTTTGTACTGAAATTTGGTGGAACAAATCCTGTATTTCTGGTTAATTTAAAATCTTAGCTTTGTTATTTTTTTATTCTTAGCTTAGATTAGCTTAGCTTAGGCGGTTCTTAGCTTTGATATTTTTATTAAATTCAAATATGGCGTCTCGTATCCGTCAAAATGGCCGTTTCTAAAATGCAATGTCGCTTCAATTTAGTAGCTTATTTTATCTTGTTAGTCATTTCAGCAAAGCAAAAGGTTAAGAAGCTCCGCCGAAAATAGAAATACATTATTAACTGCTTATTTTTCCATATAATCAAATTAAAATTTATTCCAACATCAAAGTTATCGAGTTTGACATAATAGCTACAACTCAACAACTCAGAAATGTTTCCTCATGGCTCTTTGAACAATTCATTATTGTTTGATATATTTACTGGCGGCGTGAAATTCTGGAATATGGAAGTTGTGATATGTAAAAATTTAAAATTGTAAATGCATAAGGCAGCACTTTTGTTCTGTATTTAGAAACATTATGTCACTATAGAAATCTCCTTGCGTACATAACCAACATATTTTCCAAGACGTCTAAGATTGCATGTTGGTTGGCTGCCATCAACATAGACATAGCCTATGGCAACATTATTATACTATATAGCCAAGAAAATTTTTTATTAAATTTCATTCGTTGCTCAAATAATCGTTTTCATACTCGTTTTCTCGTCTTCGCAATTTATAAATACTTTTGTATTACAGATATTGAGCAGGATAATCTATGCTATTTACTGCTGCTTGTTTAACGAGCCTAAGCAAGTCATAAGAAAATTATATTTATTAGGCTGATGGATTTATTGTTAGAATATTATATTGTTTGATAGAATAATATACATATTTATTATAACAGATTTAATGTTAGAATATTATATTGTTTGATAGAATAATATACATATTTATTGTAACGGATTTAATGTTAGAATATTATATTGTTTGATAGAATAATATACATATTTATTGTAACGGATTTAATGTTAGAATATTATATTGTTTGATAGAATATTATATTGTTTGTTAGAATATTATATTGTTTGTTAGAATATTATATTGTTTGTTAGAATAATATATTGTTTGTTAGAATATTATATTGTTTGTTAAATTATCATATTGTTTGATAGAATAATATATTTATTGTAACGGATTTAATGTTAGAATATTATATTGTTTGATAGAAAATTATATTGTTTGTTAGAATATTATATTGTTTCAGACCCCAGTGCAGGTACAGACCCCAGTGCAGGTACAGACCCTAGTGCAGGTACAGACCCCAGTGCAGGTACAGACCCCAGTACAGGTACAGACCCTAGTGCAGGTACAGACCCTAGTGTAGGTCTGTAAGCCCATGTTCGGGACTATGAAAAACACATGTTTGTCTTCCTCAGGTCTCGTGGCCGCCCCTGAGAAGTTCTCACCGCGCCACCACCTCACAAGCTTCAACGACCCCGACCCTTCCGCCTCAGGTAACCGTGATCCCGACACCCGTCCTCCTAACCGTGATCCCGCCACCCGTCCTCCTAGCCGTGATACCGCCACCCGTTCTCCTAGCCGTGATACCGCCACCCGTTCTCCTAGCCGTGATACCGCCACCCGTCCTCTTAAATTCTGAAGTGCTTTCCTTTCATGGCTCCCTCATGGTCCTATTATCTTGGTCCCCTCATAGTCATGCTGGCTCGGATCCCTCATGGTCCCCTCATTGACCCCTAGTCTTAGTCACCAGCGCGGTCTCCCGGTAGCGCCGGGCGCGCTGCCTGCACCTAATTCATCGTCACGATGTCGGTGTTTTGCTGAGCGCTTCGGCGGGGCATCGTGTCTTGAACGCTGCATGGCGTGGTCATTGTATGGGATACATATTTACTGTGTTAAATGTAGGCACTTGTGTGGGATACATGCAGGTACTGTGTGTTAAGTGTATGTACTTGTGTGGGATAGATGCNCTGGCGGCCGGCCACTAGAACGCTGGTGAGACCGTTTTTTTACCGTATTTTATCGAACAGTGTAGAAGCAAACGGTCGCGTTGGTTAACCCGGTCCTGGTCGAGGACCTCAATTATGAGGAACTTTACCAGAAGTTTCCTGGAAGCTCAGGCGCGCTGAAGGTTTCATCATTACCGCTTCATACCCAACACCAATTGCGCAGCAGTCGAAAGCTGTTCTCGTGACCTTGCCACAGCTCCGTGCCTGGTGAGCGGGAAACCGCCCGCCGTTATCTCAAACAATGTCTGCTTCACGAGACGCCCCCTACAATTGCGATTTTTTTACACTCATTACACAACTTACACGACGCTGACTCACTAAATGAAGGCCTCATTATTTTTTCGTAGGTACCAGAAAATGTAGTCGTACCTTTTTCGCACCCGAAAATGTAGTCGTACCTTTTTCGCACCCGAAAATGTAGTCGTACCTTTTTCGTACCTTACGCAGAGAAGATGCTGTACAAGAAACTGCTGGACAAGTCTGTACCTAAAGTTTTTGAGTTGGAATTTTAGGACCCAATTATGGGGGTATAAGAATGCAATTGATTGCAATATCGTCCGGTGATTTCCATGTTGCGTTAAAGCCTAGCTAGTAGGAATGTAACCTAAAATGTGGAAGTCTAATATTCGGCGACCGCCAACGCAATCCCATGACAAAGCAGACTTCGATTTGGTGTTGGGGATCTCCAAAGAACTCGTGCGGCATGCTAACGTCAGCATAATGATGAGGCATTCTGCCAGCCACTGTCAGCCATTCTGCCGGCCACTGTCAGCCATTCTTCCAGCCACTCTGCCGGCCACTGTCAGCCATTCTTCCAGCCACTCTGCCGGCCACTGTCAGCCATTCTTCCAGCCACTCTGCCGGCCGCTGGTTCCATGCAGTCGCTCTGCCAGCGATGGCTAGCCCAGCCCTGGCGGCATCTCGACCTCGCATGCCTGACGCCGCAGCGGAAATAGCTTCGCAACCCAGCGTGACGTCGACCCGTCCCTGCAACCCAGCGTGACGTCGGCCCGTCCCTGCAACCCAGCGTTCGGATCCCTCATGGTTCCCTCGTGTTCCCCTCATTGACCGCTAGTCCTAGTCACCAGCTCGGTCTCCCGGTAGCGCCGGGCGCCCTGGCTGCACCTAGTTCCTCGTCACGATGTCGGTGTTGTGCTGAGCGCTTCGGCGGGGCGTCGTGTCTTGAACGCTGCACTGCGTGGTCTTTGTATAGTATACATATTTACTGTGTTAAATGTAGGCACTTGTGTGGGATACATATTTACTGTGTTAAATGTAGGCACTTGTCTGGGATACATGCAGGTACTTGTGTAGTATACGATTCCTGTGCCGAATTTGCCGGGCGAAAAGACTCGAACCTTGCATGACTGGATGACTAATGAGGCGTTGGTTACACTGTTAGAAAAATCACCGTTAAACTGTCTCACCGACGTTCTAGTGGCCGGCCGACACGTGAAAAGAAACCCCGCATGACCGTTTTTATTCAAATTTAACATTAAAAACCCTTACAACATCTGAAAAAATGGATAAGCGGTTTATTTTCAACTGGCGGCCGGCCACTAGAACGCTGGTGAGACCGTTTTTTTACCGTATTTTATCGAACAGTGTAGAAGCAAACGGTCGCGTTGGTTAACCCGGTCCTGGTCGAGGACCTCAATTATGAGGAACTTTACCAGAAGTTTCCTGGAAGCTCAGGCGCGCTGAAGGTTTCATCATTACCGCTTCATACCCAACACCAATTGCGCAGCAGTCGAAAGCTGTTCTCGTGACCTTGCCACAGCTCCGTGCCTGGTGAGCGGGAAACCGCCCGCCGTTATCTCAAACAATGTCTGCTTCACGAGACGCCCCCTACAATTGCGATTTTTTTACACTCATTACACAACTTAGACGCTGACTCACTAAATGAAGTTCTCATTATTTTTTCGTACCCGAAAATGTAGTCGTACCTTTTTCGTACCCGAAAATGTTTTCGTACCTTTTTCGTACCCGAAAATGTAGTCGTACCTTTTTCGTACCTTACGCAGAGAAGATGCTGTACAAGAAACTGCTGGACAAGTCTGTACCTAAAGTTTTTGAGTTGGAATTTTAGGACCCAATTATGGGGGTATAAGAATGCAATTGATTGCAATATCGTCCGGTGATTTCCATGTTGCGTTAAAGCCTAGCTAGTAGGAATGTAACCTAAAATGTGGAAGTCTAATATTCGGCGACCGCCAACGCAATCCCATGACAAAGCAGACTTCGATTTGGTGTTGAGGATCTCCAAAGAACTCGTGCGGCATGCTAACGTCAGCATAATGATGAGGCATTCTGCCAGCCACTGTCAGCCATTCTGCAACTGTCTCTTATACACATCTAGATGTGTATAAGAGACAGACTTTGAGAAAANACATAATAAAATGTACCTCATTTTTATTCTGTCTAAACTGTAATTAATTTCCGTAGATAAACTTCAAACTGAGGAGACTGTACACTGCCCTTTTATGATTTGAATTGATTTCTTTTATTGGAAGAATGTCAAATACTTCGTGCCTAGTATCACTTCATAGGAATGAACTTTGGTTCATGTTGCACGAAATTAATTAAGCTAATAACTATATTTCACTTCTCATCATTGAAGTTTATTAGACATATCCCATAACTAAGTGTAGCCTTGTGTCATGCTTCACTTCTTATCATTGAGGTATATCAGACCTGTCTCTTATACACATCTAGATGTGTATAAGAGACAAGTGTTAATGGGCGCGTGAATGCAGGGTCTGATCTAATGGGAACTGCTATCGTTTGTCAAGCGTTATGGGCGCGTGAATGGAGGGTTTGATCTAATGGAAACTGCTATCGTTTGTCAAGTGTTAATGGGTGCGTGAGTGCAGGGTCTGATCTAATGGAAACTGCTATCGTTTGTCAAGCGTTAATGGGTGCGTGAATGGAGGGTTTGATCTAATGGGAACTGATATCGTTTGTCAAGCGTTAATGGGCGCGTGAATGGAGGTGTTATCTAATGGAAACTGCTATCGTTTGTCAAGCGTTAATGGACGCTTGAAGCTCTGCCCTTTATCTTCCTTGTGAACCGCACTTCCCGTGGCAGGATAAGATAAGGTCGCCATCATTAGAACGCTCTTCACTTTAAGTTCGTTTTCGCGTGAATGCCGTCGAATGTACGTGCTAAGATTTTGACTATTCAAGGCCTATACTTTCAAAAAAAGTTAAGAGATCGTAAGTTCATCAGCCAATCCTTGACGGCCTTTCAAGCAAAATCCACCAATCATACATAAGAAAATAGAGCGTTAAGTACTTACGTTCACTTAGCGAGTTTTGAAAGTAAGGCCCCAGGTCTAATAGTGCCTGAAAAAGTCATCTATCGTTATTAGGAAACGAATTGTCGAAAAAAGTCATTAATCGTTTTGTAAAAGTGAAGCGTCATTGCGGTGATCGCTCGCATCACAATCAAAGTCTTTCGACTTTTGTGGCAATCGTTTGTCGGCGTGATTGAGTTTAATTATCTAACGTTTTTAATCATCAAACGTGTAAAAAATTAAATGTTTTTTAAACCGTAACTAAAAAAGAAAATGTGCCCAACTACTCAAGATCACGCGCCTGATAGCTGATCCTTTTTTGCACCACCTGCACTGCAAGAACTGCCTCTACCATCTCCACAATCTTCACTGCCTGCACTGCCTCTACCATCTCCACAATCTTCACTGCCTGCACTGCAAGAACTGCCTCTACCATCTCCACAATCTGCACTGCCTGCACTGCAAGAACTGCCTCTACCATCTCCACAATCTGCACTGCCTGCACTGCAAGAACTGCCTCTACCATCTCCACAATCTGCACTGCCTGCACTGCAAGAACTGCCTCTACCATCTCCACAATCTGCACTGCCTGCACTGCAAGAACTGCCTCTACCATCTCCACAATCTGCACTGCCTGCACTGCAAGAACTGCCTCTACCATCTCCACAATCTGCACTGCCTGCACTGCAAGAACTGCCTCTACCATCTCCACAATCTGCACTGCCTGCACTGCAAGAACTGCCTCTACCATCTCCACAATCTGCACTGCCTGCACTGCAAGAACTGCCTCTACCATCTCCACAATCTGCACTGCCTGCACTGCAAGAACTGCCTCTACCATCTCCACAATCTGCACTGCCTGCACTGCAAGAACTGCCTCTACCATCTCCACAATCTGCACTGCCTGCACTGCAAGAACTGCCTCTACCATCTCCACAATCTGCACTGCCTGCACTGCAAGAACTGCCTCTACCATCTCCACAATCTGCACTGCCTGCNGTACAGCACTCCGTGCTAGATGTGTATAAGAGACAGCTCCACAACTGCACTGCCTGCACTGCAACAACTGCCTCTACCATCTCCACAATCTGCACCACCTGCACTGCAACAACTGCCTCTACCATCTCCACAACTGCACTGCCTGCACTGCAACAATTGCCTCTACCATCTCCACAATCTGCACCACCTGCACTGCAACAACTGCCTCTACCATCTCCACAACTGCACCGCCTGCACTGCCTGCACTGCAACAACTGCCTCTACCATCTCCTCAACTGCACTACCTGCACTGCCTGCACTGCAACAACTGCCTCTTCCATCTCCACTGCCTGCACCACCTGCTGCATGTGCGCGGTGCAGATGGAGGCTCGCACCAGAGATCATACTTGCATGTTAACTAACTTGTAATGCCGGATATTATGACCGAATTGTCGCCTATTCTTCGATGTTGGGTCTGTTCGTTTTTGAATTTCATTTCTTACACGTTCTGTGTAATTTCCCCATAATAAAGTTTGTATTCCGCCCGTAGTCTCCCCAGAATGCCAGTGGTATTCGTCCCCTATTCTCCCCGAGTATAGTTCATACTAACACCAAATATGCCCTTCCTCCCACCCCACCCACCCTCATCCCTGCATACCCACCATACCCACCCTTGCCCAGGAGTTGTCACTTTTGTTGATGCCCTGGCGCGGCTGTGAACGCCAGTCTAGTAAATTCTAGTAGTAAAAGTCCAGTAAATTGTACCTCGTAGCGCTTTTCGGTGTCCACGCGTTCTGTCGGTAAATTGTGCCCAATCGCTTTCTGTTGAATGATTACTAGTATTGCGTTGCGTGTAATTACCGGGTTCGTGCAAGGCTTGTCGCATTGCATCGTTGCACCGCTGTTTGTTAGGGCCGCTTCCGGGGTCATTATGATGTATTTCTCTCTGTAGTGACAAATGACAATAGAGCGCCCGTCCTGGTGATGTCATATATGAAGAGGCTTTGGTGAAGGCATCATTGAATGCCTATATACGTAGTGAGGCAGGCTGCCGTAAAAGCTATGATGTTAACAATAGGCTGTTGTAAAAGCTAGGATGTCAACAATAGGCTGCTTTAAATGCATGGGTATTAACAGCAATACAGAATTTCCATTGAGGCCGGGATGCCACATCGCTTTTTGGCATCAGATGTCACAGAAATTGAGGAGAAGCAACTAGTTCGAGATCTCTGAGTGTTGATAAGTACTGAAGCCCACATCAAGGAAATAGTTGCGCGAAGCAGATAACGGATGGGGTAGATCTGGCGGACATTTCGAACGAGAGAAGCAGCACCAATAATTACACTCTTCAGAGCCCTCGTGCTCCCCAATCTTGAGTATTGCTGCAAAATTTCGGCGCCATTCAAGGCGGGTACGGTGCGGAAACTAGAGGCAGTGTAGGTGACTTTAACGTGCAGGATCAGCGGCATGAGGGAGCTGAACCTGAACTACTGGGGAAGGCTGAAACACCTGAAACTGTGCTCACTAGCGGAAAGGAGAAGAGAGAGGTATATCATACTGTACACTTGGTAAATGATAACCGGACTGGCTCTCAACTTTGCGAATGAGACCATCAAAATAATGATATATCACAACAACAAAATAGTGAGGGAGTGCAGGATTCCCCATTTAATAACCGAGCCGCGGCCAGAGTACAGACTCTTCGTGAGAGATCACTGTCCGTAGTAGGACCGAGGCTCTTTAATGCCTTGCCAAAAGCGCTGCGAGGAGGGGAGTTTACCCTTGCAACATTCAAGAGACGACTGGACAAGTGGTTGAGAAATATCCCGGATTGTCCAGTAATGGGAAACTACCATCAGCAAGTGACATGTAATAGCATCTTGCATCAGGTGGCCCAAAGGAGGGCAAATAGACGGAACACGTCCAACGTTACATCCGGGACCCGAGGGCGGGGTGACCTGCCTAGCGACGACTTTGAGACGGACGACGACGAAGGCGGCGCATCAGCGTGACCTTGGACTAAGAAGTCCCAAACTCATCATAAGGTCACAAGGCCAATAGGCTGCTGGATAAGCTAGAATGTCAACAACAGGCTCATGTAAATGCACGAGTGTAAACAACAGGCTGCTGTAAGGATTGTTTACAATTGACTGCTGTAAATGCCTAATAACCAAAGGTTGCTGGCGCGCGGTCAAGGTTGAGCCGAAAGCATATTTCGCTGCCGCTTCCTCGTCCAGAATTGCCACCGTATTGCACGCGAAGAATTGCGTCATCGGCGGCCAAGGTTACGGCCACATCGATTGCTTGTCTTCCTGCCTGCGCGCAGAAAAAATTTATTGTCCAAATAATGACATGCATGTTTACTAACTGCACTAGTAAACAGTAGGAACAGTAGTAAATACTACTGAACTAGTAAACACTAGTGAACAGTAGTAAACAGTAGTTCGTTAATGCCGAAGATACTATACTATAGGACTGCGATGCTTGTTTTTAACGGACGCTGACGCGCTTCTTCTCAGAGCAAAACTGGGTTAGGGTGACCCACACAAGTTCAAGTGCACGGCTATTTGGACAAAGTCTTGTTCATTTCTGTGAGTGCCATGCGGTACAGCAGGCAAGCGTGCAGCTGATGCCCAGCGCAGGAAGTTCATCATCAGCGCTGCATGCGCGAGCACGAGCGCGCCCCAGCCTTGTGGTGTCTGCCTCTCCCCTCACTACCCTCGCTACCCTTACTACCCTCGCTAACCTTAGCACCCTCACTACCTTCACTGCTCTTATTCCCCTCACTACCCTCACTCCCCTCACGTACCCTCACTACCCTCACTTGCGTCGCTATCCTTCCTACCTTCGCTACCCTTACTCTCCTTACTCCCCTCGCTACCCTCGCTGCCCTTACTACCCTCACTACCCTTACTATCATTACTCCTCTCACTACCCTTATTCCCTTCGCTACCCTCACTCTCCTTACTACCCTCGCTACCCTCACTACCCTTATCACCCTTGCTCCCCTCACTACCCTCACTCTCCTTACTACCCTCGTCACCCTCGCTACTCTTACTCCCCTCGCTACCCTCACTACCCTTATCACCCTCGCTACCTTTACTACCCTCACTACCCTCACTCCCCTCACTACCCTCACGGCCCTGCTTGGCCGCCCTCGCATCCACCGAATATTGAAACCTGCTCATATCTAATCTATTATACTTCATCAAACGTAGTTGTGTGATACCGACTTTCATTGTGAAAAATCCAGCTTACAACTGATCGTGATAGTAGAACTGATATTAAAATTTTTCAATGGTTAGAATGTTTAGTCGCGTAATAATGTGCACTGCATTGATATCTATGTGATAATAAATACTAATGCGAAGGTAACATTACAGTTCAGGTAGCAATATCGTTTAGAATGATCATTTTCATCCGGTGTGGTCAGTTCAGTGTTGCACGCACATCTCTGGTAGGAATAACATTATGATGAGACAATGAAATGGGCGGCAGCGGAAGTGATGCACAACTTGTGCTGTGTAATTAACTAACCTTTGTGTCGTTGTGATGTGTCTTCTGCAATACAACATCGACCTTATTTAGTGGCCTTTTAGCAATAATTATTTATTTACGTCATCTGCCCTACAACATCGACCTTATTTCGTGGCTTATTTTAGCAACATTTATTAGTTTCTGTCATCGTAGCACGGAATCTATTTTACAGCATTGTGTCCTTAATAAATTCACAGCTTACCAAACTCTTTACGGACCAAATGTACTGCATTCCGTGCTCTGAACACATCCTATTGTACAGCATTCCGTGCTCTGAACACATCCTATTGTACAGCACTCCGTGCTCTGAACACATCCTATTGTACAGCACTCCGTGCTCTGAACACATCCTATTGTNATAACGAGAAGATAACGAGACGCGGTCATAACGAGAAGATAACGAGACGCGGTCATAACGAGAAGATAACGAGACGCGGTCATAACGAGAAGATAACGAGACGCGGTCATAACGAGAAGATAACGAGACGCGGTCATAACGAGAAGATAACGAGACGCGGTCATAACGAGAAGATAACGAGACGCGGTCATAACGAGAAGATAACGAGACGCGGTCATAACGAGAAGATAACGAGACGCGGTCATAACGAGAAGATAACGAGACGCGGTCATAACGAGAAGATAACGAGACGCGGTCATAACGAGAAGATAACGAGACGCGGTCATAACGAGAAGATAACGAGACGCGGTCATAACGAGAAGATAACGAGACGCGGTCATAACGAGAAGATAACGAGACGCGGTCATAACGAGAAGATAACGAGACGCGGTCATAACGAGAAGATAACGAGACGCGGTCATAACGAGAAGATAACGAGACGCGGTCATAACGAGAAGATAACGAGACGCGGTCATAACGAGAAGATAACGAGACGCGGTCATAACGAGAAGATAACGAGACGCGGTCATAACGAGAAGATAACGAGACGCGGTCATAACGAGAAGATAACGAGACGCGGTCATAACGAGAAGATAACGAGACGCGGTCATAACGAGAAGATAACGAGACGCGGTCATAACGAGAAGATAACGAGACGCGGTCATAACGAGAAGATAACGAGACGCGGTCATAACGAGAAGATAACGAGACGCGGTCATAACGAGAAGATAACGAGACGCGGTCATAACGAGAAGATAACGAGACGCGGTCATAACGAGAAGATAACGAGACGCGGTCATAACGAGAAGATAACGAGACGCGGTCATAACGAGAAGATAACGAGACGCGGTCATAACGAGAAGATAACGAGACGCGGTCATAACGAGAAGATAACGAGACGCGGTCATAACGAGAAGATAACGAGACGCGGTCATAACGAGAAGATAACGAGACGCGGTCATAACGAGAAGATAACGAGACGCGGTCATAACGAGAAGATAACGAGACGCGGTCATAACGAGAAGATAACGAGACGCGGTCATAACGAGAAGAAAACGAGACGCTATCATAACGAAATGATAACGAGACTTATCTTAACGAGAAGATAATGAGACTCTTATCATAATAACGATGATAACGAGAAGATAACGAGACTCTTATCATAACGAGATGATACCGAGACGCTATCATAAAAAGAAGATACCGAGACGCTATCATAACGCGATGATAACGAGACGCTATCATAACGAGAAGATAACGAGACGCTTAACGAGAAGATAATGAGACTCTTATCATAATAACGATGATAACGAGAAGACGAGACGCTATCATAACGAGAAAATACGAGACGCTATCATAACGAGAAGATAACGAGACGCTATCATAACGAGAAGATAAAGAGACGCTATCATAACGAGATGATAAATAAAGAGACGCTATCATAAAAAGAAGATAACGAGACGCTATCATAACGAGAAGATAACGCGATGATAACGAGTCACAGACCTCTAGGGGGCGTGCACCCAATACGTGACCAGACAAAACAACAGCCTCATCACCCTGCGCACTGAAACACTCAACAATCTTCACATAACAAATCTACTCGAGAAACACTCTTCTTATCTACATTATAGTCCGTGCTCGCGGTCTATGACTAATTTAATTGCCATTAGCTTCACGATTTCGTTTATATTTTGTTGGTAATTTGTTAAGATCATATAGTATCTCGGTATTTCATCACTTGGTAATGAAATTAATTATAATATGTGTGTTGTATGCGTGATGGAAAATGCGGGGAATGAGGGAGATATTCCGTGATTAATGTAACCTGGTCTTACTGCATCTAGTGGTTTAGAACGATCATTTACGCAACTAAACAGTCACTTAGATGCCGACATAAAAAATGAATCGCCTATTATTTATTGCGTGTCATTAGATCGAACAATATCGTCTTACGTTCCAATATCGCTGTACTGTATAATGGTGAGCAGTGTACTGGCAGTGAGTAAGCAGTGTACTGGCAGTGACAGTAAGCAGTGTACTGGCAGTGACAGTAAGCAGTGTACTGGCAGTGACAGTAAGCAGTGTACTGGCAGTGACAGTAAGCAGTGTACTGGCCTGTCTCTTATACACATCTAGATGTGTATAAGAGACAGGTATATACGCGTCGGTGATGTCAGCGCTACCGTCGCGCGTTCCTCTTCCGGTTGCTGGAATTTTTCCCACCTATACATTCAAAAATATTAGTGATACTTTTTCCAAATAGCGAAGCACCCTTTTTTTTTTTTTTGTTTGGGTCATCCTGATCAAATTTGTCGTAGCCAAAAACGCGTACCGGTATCAGTGATAATAAGTTTGCTCACTGTTTCGCACTGTGGTTGAGATAGTGTGTCACTATTGGTATTGGGACAATGCGACCCAATAATTTTTCTGATTGTATATATATTTTCGAAGACTTATTAAATTATATTTTCTATTCATTATAATACTGGTATCCCTTATATTATATATACATATATACTTATAATATCCTCTAATAAGTCTTAAGCAAGTATTCTACTGTTCCTGCCTTGACAAATTCACCAGCTTGCTAAAAAATAATCCCTTCTTAATTTGATCGTGAATTGATGCGTTGTTTTAATTTCAATATTTGTCATGTCCCAGAAGTTCGTGTACTCGTGATAGCAAGATCGCGAAACTCAGTATCACTTACATTTATTGCTGATAATTAACGTTGGTGTTTCAATCTCCAGGGCCTATACTTTCAAAAAAAGTTAAGAGATCGTAAGTTCATCAGCCAATCATTGACGGCCTTTCAAGCAAAATCCACCAATCATAGACTTAGAGGTAGCAGGGTTAAGGTAGAGGTAGCAGGGTTAAGGTAGAGGGGCAGGGTTAAGGTAGAGGAGTAGGGTTAAGGTAGAGGGGCAGGGTTAGGGTAAAGGTAGCAGGGTTAATGTAGAGGGCAGGGTTAGAGTAGAGGTAGCAGGTTTGGGGTAGAGGTAGGGTGAGCAGGGTTAAGGTAAAGGGGCAGGGTTGGGGTGGAGGGGCAGGGTTGAGGTAGAGGTAGCAGGGTAGAGGTAGGGTGAGCAGGGTTGATCTAGGATGAGTAAGATTGAGTTAGGGTGACCAGGACTGAGCCAGGGTTAAGCTAGGGTGCGGCACAGCGTGTGGCATTTGAAGGGCGCTTCGTCGCCGCAAGTTCAGGGCCGCTATGACGGCTCTGAACGGCCGCGATGACGGCCCTGAACTGCCAAAATCGAGCGCGTCATCACCACGCAGTGTTGGCCCNAACAGAATCGTACACTATTTCTGTGCGTGATACGCATGTACAGTCATGTCTCTTCTTGCTCCTCATGTTGACAATCTCTCGTGCAAACAGACTGATGAGTTCAAATGTATACTCATTACTCTATGTCAACATCTGTCCTGCCTCCACAACCCCTCTCTTGCCCCATCTCTTCTTATTATCCATTCTCGCATTTTCGTCAACTCTTCTCGACAAAAACTCTGATGTTAGCGTCTCTCTCCTTATAATCTTCGCCCTCTTAAATTCTTGTCTCTTTCACATTTTTTTACCTCTCATGCGTTGAACAGAGCAGTTTTGTCTCAAAAAATCAATTCAAGTTATGAGAAAAACGGGAATGGGAGTCAAAAGTATTCACTATTAATTAAATATTCCATGAAAATATAATACATATTCTTGACGTTCACAATGTTATTAAATTCTTTCTTCTATATTCACTTATAATGACATGGAATTAATAATCGTAATTCAACGAATTTATGCTCGCTCGAGCTGTGATATGCTGGGCTCTTAAATCACTGGCGTCGTAGCCAGGAATTTCAACAGAGTTATTTAGACGACCCAAACTTCTGTGAACCAGTCACTGCATTTACTGCAACTGACATCACACTGCAGGCATCTAACACTACAGGCATCGAAAGCACTATTATTTACCGTTAATCCACCACTGCATTTACTGCAACTGACAGTACACTGCAGGCATCTAACGCACTGTTACTGCTGTGAAACCATCACAGATTTTGTAAGTAAGACTTTCCTCGCGGCAATAATTTACCGCTGTACTTCATCGCCAAATTTATCTTGAAGACTCGTCAATCGTCATTAGTTTTTAACTGGTGATAAAGTAGCGAGAGTTTTGTGGAACAATGTAATCTGGACGCCGGCAGGCACGCCTCCCAGACCTTGCGTGCTTGCGAAATGGACTGGGAATGTCAGGGCTGGTCGCCGTGCTGCTGGCGCTTCTGAACTCAACATTGCAGCAGCAAGGTTGAATTTCAGTGCTTTTTTGTGTGTGTGAGCTAAAACTTGGTGTTGATTGGAGCCATTTCTTATGTATATATATTTATGGAAATGTGATATTTATGGATTTGTTTTCTGTTTTATTGAATTGAGAATTTTTGAACGGCCAAGGTCTACTATATTGTTGGACTGTGTGGATTATGCTCTCTCGTTGGCCATGATGCAACACTGTTCCTATTAATTCTTAATTCATTCCCACCTCTATTGTCAGCTTTTTATAGTGTCATGCATACCAAATACGTGTGCTTTATATTTTGTAAAACTTATATTGTTATATTGTATTGTATATATTGTTTGCTTTATTTTTGTTTTGCTTTTGTAACTGTAAAAGTGACAATTCCAGTAATTTTGGCTTTGAAGGCGAAGCGAGCATTGCACAAATCCTATCGATTTAAAGTTTGCTTACGATTGTTGTCTAAGATCCTATATTCGGCCGTCCTCAAGAAATTATTCATCTCGATGATATTAATGCTGGATCTTGAATGCTGCCGTGGAATGCATTCAAAACACTTAACCTTGTGAAAGTTGTGACCAGCACCGGGTTCACTCTCGCAAGACTTACAGTTGAGTATCTTACGATCTGCGTTAAATTTACGATCACCGATGATCATGATGGCAGATTTACGAACTATTACGCTTTTGCGTGGGAAAAAGCCAATACACAAGTAATCTCGCCAAGCTAATAGCGAGAGCGTAAGCAAGAAAATATTCGGTTTATGTTAAACCCTCCTGCCAATCAGTCCATTTTTTAATCAATTCTGTCAATCAGAGGCGAGTAATCTCGCTTCATGCTCACTTTTTTTTACTTTCGATCACCGTATTACTTGCACGAACCATGAACGTACGATTTCCACGGTACTAAGACCATTGAGTGAATTGCGACCATTTAAAACGTTAGTATCGAATCAATTATATTTTAAGTTGAACATTGTTGAGATATTTTGGCGTGTATCTGCTGAAGAGCAGTGTATCTACTGCATAGTCGTTGCGACCGAGTGTATACCCGTATATTTACTGCGGCATTTACAACACACGCATGCCCTGGATTCTAGCGAATACTGTTGTAATTGAACTGAGATTTCTCCCATCTATACGGCATGCATGGAGTCGGACATCGAACCAAAGTTTTTTCGTTTTAAATGTTAACTTCTGAACCAAAATAAGACAACATCGTGACGTGTAGCCGCTGCACTCACTGCTCTTACCTCTCTGCCTCGTGACTGACGCTAGAACAACACAGTCATTTGTTCTTACATTTAGAACAGCGAAATTTTGCGAACAGCGAAGCAGTGAAACCTGGAAATTTGTTTTAATTGCTGTGTTCATACGAAGTTATTTAAAGTGTATAGACGTGCAGCCGGAATTGATATTATTGTTGAAAAGTTATTAGGTCAATAAGCATCACAGATAGGTACTCAAGGATGTTCAGCCTTGGTATTTCATCGTTAGCAGCGTTATCAGGCGCGTCTTGCCTGCGATAGTACACTGATAATCTTGATGCAGTCGTCCGCTATCATATGTATTAATTTTGATTCTAGGATTCACTTTAAGTGCGAATGCATGGTCGGCCAGAGGTTGGCCGCCGCTGTGTGTCAATTTATCGCGTGCTAATCAAGGATATCTTTTGTATATTCATCAAATGTGTGAAATGAGCCTGGCACCTTTATGAAATGTGTGTAAATGAGCCCCGCTAATGTATAGGGGTTGCTGAAGCGCGTGTCTAGGATAATTACTTA